AGGACATGCAGGAGTGCGAGGGAATAAAAGAGCAGATTTTCTGGCTACAAAAGCGAAAGCTACGGGAACCCTCGTACTGGACAAGGGAGATATTCTGAAGACCATGTATGAACGACTCCTGACAGAAGACACGAGATTAGATGAAATAACATGTGCAAGATTGTGTGAACGATGAATTAAGTTTGAATCCGGCAACTAGGGACGGATGAGAGGAAGAGAACGACCTGTGTATAAACAGTGTGCTACGGAAGCAGTTACCATCTACACCTGAAGACATTTGCTGCGGGAGAAGAAGGATGCATCTATGGGTATGCCCGGTGTGCTATGATAAAGTCATTCCGTAACACTACGTGTCGTTGGGTCACCAGTTTCTGTTGACTATCTGATCATCTCTCTCAATCTTTGGAGGTCAGTTGCGATGGACTTCATGGTTGCATACCTGAGGCCTGTCCATTCAGTCAGGTTCGGTAACCAGGTCTCTTTTCCTCTTTCTCTCTACTGAGCCCTGCCGTATTGTTTTTGAGAGGCCGTTAGATCTCATTACATGTCCATACCATGGCATTTTCGCGTTTTTACTGTAGTTAAAAGAGGTTCATAGTTGCCAATGTGCTGTATACTTTTATGGCAAATCTCTTCCTTTGTAATTTGGTCTCTGTATGATATGCCAAGAATATTTCTGAAACATCTCATGTCTAATGCTTGTATCTTTCTTTCAAGTTCAGCTGTTAAGATCCCGTTTCACAGCCATATGTAAATTTACTAATAGCTAGTGCTCTGAGCAATCGAATCTTAGTTTTACATAAAATGTTTTTGAATCTCCATAATGTTTGCTGCTTGGCAAGGACTGATGTTGTCTGGACAATCCTAGACATGATTTCTGGTCGTGACTCCAAGTCACTTAGAATGGATCCTAAATATTTGAAATGAGTCACTTGTTCCAATTTGTTACCTTCAATGTAGACTGGTGAAATTCTGACAGCTTCATTATTAGTCATTACTTTTTTTTGTCTGCGTTTATTTCCATGCCATATTTTGTTGATGCTTCATCGAGTAGATTTACAAGCTCGACTAGTTCTTGTTCTTTTCCAGCCAACCCATCGATGTCATCTGAAAACCTTAAGTTTGTTATAGTTCGACCCCCGGTACTAACTGTTCTAAGATGTTGTTCTAGGGCATCAGTCATAATTCTATCTAAAAGAATGTTAAACAGTGTTGCAGAGAAGAGGCAACCCTGCCGGACTTCACTGTTGTTCAGAACCAGCCTCTTATTTATCCGTTCAGCTTGATAGTACTGCTGGCCCTGGGATAGAGATGTTCTATAGTACGTATGAGGGTTTACCCATATTGTACTTTTTTTTATAGTCTCCCAGAGTGCTGCATGTCGTACTCTATCAAATGTATTTTAAAAATAAATGAACTCATGGTATAGATGTTTTTGGTGCTGGTGGTATTGCTCAGATAATATGCTTCTTCCAGCACGGAAACCAGCTTGTTCCTCAGCTATGATCTTTTCTGCATGTGGCTCTAATCTGTTTAGGAGTATCTTAAGCATAACTTTACTGGGATGACTGATTGTACTTACAGTCCTATAGTTTTGACTGTTGTAAATTACCCTTTTGGGGGATGGTAATGAAGATTGATTTGGCCCAAAAAGATGGTCATTCACCAGTCTCCCAAATTTTATTACAGATTTCAGTGAGGATGTCGATGACGTCTCTCCCCTCGCCTTAGGGATCTGGGATATTATCAATTCCCGCAGCTTTCTCATTTTTTTAAAGTTCTAATGGTCAAATCTACTTTATCACGGAGTATGGGGAAGCTGTCCTCGGCTATCCTCCGAATAACGGTCCCAAATTATCGAGGCCAAAAATATACCCTAACAGGGCCTCAGCTACATGTAAATTGCGGACTTCCGGCGACTTAAATTGCGGACTTCTGGCGACTACCGCCACCGCCGAGAGTATCTCCCGCGCTGCAGCTACCGCATCTCATGCAGCTTCTTTCATTTTATTTGATCGTGAGTCCCAGCCATCTAGTTTAGCCCCACTCCGCGGGAGCTACCCTCGGAGGTGGCGGTAGTCGCCGAAGTCCGCAATTTACATGGATGGCGTTATTTCTTGACGTTTTCTCTCGATTGATGTTTGAAATAATGCTTAAAGCTTTTATGCTATTGTTCAACTTGTTACAATCTTCTATTTCTGCACATCTGCTTTCTATCCAACTTTCTTTTGCCTGCCGCATGTCTTTTCTAATCTGAATATTTATCTATCTATACTTGTCTGCTAGTTGATGATTGTGCTCGTCTTTCCTGAGGTGCCTTCGTTGGTCACACATGTAACGAATTTCCTGAGTGATCCATAATTGCTTTAGATTTTTTCTATGTATACCAACAATTTCTTGTGTTGTTTCATTTATTACTGTGGTGAATTCATTTGTTAGTGTTTCTACGCTGTTCATATTGTTAATAAAAGGAGCAAACTTACCTGCAATTTGGACTCTGAAATTTCCGCCACCACAAGATCCTTTAGTTTGTCAATATCGTATTTCAGTCGTATGGTCTTGGCACGATTTAAAGGTGGAATCTAAAATTTAGCAGCACCATATTGTGGACACTTCCTATATCAGCTCCAGGGTAACTTCTTGTCTTCGCTTTGTTTATCCCAGATTTAAAACGTTTTTTGACTAGTATGTAGTCAATTTGGTTGTGCCATGTCCAAATTCTTGATGCCTTGTGCTTGTGTAATGTGTTAGCTAAGAGGAGGTTGTTGAATTTGCAGAATTCCAGAAGTCTGAATCATCGCTCATTGGTGATTTTGTTGCAGAAGGGTCCACAAGTGTCTTTCCTGTCTGCCTGCGCATCTGTTCCTATCTTAGCATTGCAGTCTCCATGGATTATAAGTAAATCTTTCTTTGGTGTTTTGTCAATAATATTTTGGAGTTGGCTATAGAAAATCTCAAAAAGTTGTCAACGTAGTCTGTAGTTAGAGCATAGACTTGTATGACCGTAATATTGAAAGGGGTTGCGTTTAAGCGTATAGAAATGAGTCTGCTCGAGACAGGTATGCATCCAGTAATTGTGTTTCTAATTTTATTTTGCAGAAGAAAGCCAAAGCCGTTTCTCCTCTATCATCTCCACTGAAGTAAAATGCATGTCCTTGATCAGTTGTTGTTTCTCCAAACTCTTGAGATGCCAACTATACCTTCACGGCTCATATTAAAGTACGGACATTCCAAGTGCCAAAAACTGCGGTGTTCCTCCCACATATACGCTTCTTTTCGTTTTGATCAGTAGCTAACTTTTCGAGTCCGTCCTGATCTAGGAAGGATGGCGAGGTCCTTGGTAACCCAGGTGATGACCGAGCCGGTGTAGTATCCGATCTATTTGTCAACAGCATGGAGCGTCTAGGGCAGTACTTCAACCCTGGCGGGGCCAACCCCTCTTCGTGTGGCCATTTCCCCCTTGGCCTGTATCTTCACTGATATAGTTTCCAATCTGCATCACGAGGAGGTGGAGTTGGCTTGTGTGATCACGGGACAGCAGCCGCCTGCTAATTTTCACTTTTCACCTTCCTAGGAGTGGCGGAGCGGCTAGACGCTCGCCGCGGATGGGAAGGTCTTAGGTTTCCACCCTAGCGGAGCTGGACTTTGTCAAAAATGACCTTGGCTCAACCCAGTCTTGAATGGGTACCCGGTGCAGTCTCGCGAAGTAAAGGCGACCGGCGTGATGCTGACCACATCACCAATTTTGTGCCGATTGGTCTAAAATATAGGTCTAGCCCTATATGCCCTATACGCCTAAAGGCCTGGAGAAGGGTCCTTTACTTACTTTTACCCTCATATGAGAGCTAGCTGCCCCCAACACTGCTGGCTGCAGTGCCAGGCGTGACCACACCTTACAGACCAGGTGCTGCTCAGATGTCGATTCTAAAATTAAAATTTTTAAAAAATTTTCAATAATGAGTTAACAAATCTCCTCATTTCTCATACGATCTCAGTTGATTTTTTTTTTCAAGCCCTTCTCAGGCATCTCATTTCACAGGTGGTCATTAACATTAGAGCAAAAACAAATGTGAACAATGCATTTGCTTGAATATTTTACAAGATATTTTTATACAACCCAATGGAAAGATGAAAAAAATCTAGAAAAAACCAATGGAAAGTCACTTGTACGTGTGTTGTCAAAAGGAATCAGTAACAAACTTCGGGTATTGAAAGAATTAGTACAGTTTTTTTTTTTTTTTGAGTATTTTAGATTTTAGTATTTGAGGACTAAAAGATATAATAATATTTATTTCAGTTTGTAAAATTGCAGGGGTTTGGAAGAGTTCATAATGTTTATTTCAGTTTATTATATGAGACTACTGAGGATTGGAAGAGTTTAAAAAAGTTCTTTTTCCCCTGTATCTCAGATATGACCTTTGAGGACTTGAGGAGCTAATAAAGTGTATTTCAGAATATAGGATGAGACTATTAGGGATTGGAAGGGTTAATACAGTTTATCTAGGTATCTCAGATTGGAAAAGTTCATAACGTTAATTTAGGTATATCAGATGAGACTATTAAGGATTGGAAATTTATTAAAGTTTATTTTAATATATCAGATGCTACCTTTAAGGACTGGAAGAGTTAATAAAGTTTATTTCAGTATATCAGATGATTTTTTAAGGATGGAAGGGTTAATAAAGTTTGTCTCAGTATTTCAGATGCGATCTTTAAGGACTGGAAGAGTTCATAATGTTAATTTCAGTATATCAGATGAGACTGTAAAGGATTGGAAAAGCTAATAATGTTTATTTCAGTATCTCAGATACTACCTTTAAGGACTGGAAGCGTTAATAATGTTTATTTTAGGATCTCAGATGCTACCTTTCAGGACTGGAGGAGTTGATAAATGTATTTCAGTACATCATATGACACTATTCAGGACCGGAAGAGTTAATAAAGTTTATCTCAGTATTTCAGAGATAACAAGGTTTCACACTGTACACCAAAATATGACAATGACAAATAACACAATAGTCAGGGTTTCGTTTCATGGACTAGTTACAAGTGACCAGTATGCTTACTTTATGGAATTCTATAGTGAAGTTGGGACCTTGCTATCGTTTATTGGCATCGTCTCAAACATCATCAACATTATAACGTTTGTAGCCATGGGTTTGACAGATGGAATCACAGTTTCATTCCTTTGTTTATCAATATTTGACCTGGCCTACCTGATCCCGTCGTTTGCACTGGGAATTTCTATAGCTTTTGCAGTGATTGAACTACGAACACTTATTGCCTTTGTCGTCGAGCCTCACGGAGTGTCTATACTGATAGCTAACTTTATGGTGCTTGTCAACGTAACCAATGTTCTGACAACAACGTTCCTAGCAGTTGCCCGTTGTATGTGTGTAGCCAAGCCTTTACATTTCAAGAACTGGTTTACTACAAATAAAACCCTTGGATTCATTGGCTCATTTGTCACTGTTGCCGTAGTCAGCTACGCACCAGTTATTGCCAATCTGGGCATGGTAACGACGTTTGACATCAAGAAAAATATAACTAGACCCATTCTGTGGGTGTCTCCTAAACGTGAATCAATCAAAGTCATTGCGTGGATAATAATAGACTTGACATTACCGTTTGCTACACAATTCATCGTTGTAATCTGTGTTGTAATCATGGCCAGTAGTCTTCAAGCCTCATCCAGATTCAGACAATCTGCAGTACTGTCACCAGAGAATGCAAAATCGGTATTGAAACAAAACGGGAAAGTAACACTCTCCAGTACATTGACTGTACCCACAGACAAACTTTCTAGCAAAGATGTACGAGTGGTTCAGCAAGTAGTCCTGATATCTGTGGTGTATATCATTTGCAACACGCCAAAAATGATGATTAGCCTGGCTGCCATCACTGTGCCGGGGTTTACAATTGGCAAACGCTACAGCAACACGTACCTCTGCGTCAACACTCTGAGGCAACAGTTTGAGATTTTTAACTCTGCAGTCAACACATTTATTTACTATAGATACAATACTAAATTTCGCTCAACCTTACTCTCGCTGTTCAAATAATACATACCCATTTTTAGCCAGGGCAATTTTATTTCTGACAGTATGCAGCAGTACGCAGCAGTATGCAGTACCAGGACTTTTAAATGGTATACTTTTTACTTCAGTTGTAATAGACACATTGTGACGAGCGCTAGACCGATTTAGCACACTATGTGGTGAGTACTGTGACCTTTTTGTTTCTTAGGAAAATTAAAATCATGTCTTTAGCGGATGTCTGACTTACTGCTTCAATTTAATGCCACTTGCAACTTGATACTATCTTGTATTACTACAGTAGCTATGATTTGGGTCACATGCGTAAGGGAAAGCTAAGGAAGTTGTGATGTGTATACAGAGTTGCTCGGTACCTCATCGAAAGAGACAGAAGGCTCTGGGCTGGCTCTACGGATTCTCTATTCGATTGTTGTTGTTTAAATGTTGAAACGTTATTGTATGTATATGTTTCTCTAATGGTTTACATAATGAGTATAGTAGAAACATGGGCCTGTAGTTGTCTAGTGAACTGTTTTCAGCGGAGCCAGGTTTGAGCGGAGGATACATTTTAGCAATTTTAAATTCTGACGGAAAGTAATTTTTGGGAAGGCACTGATTAAATACGAACGTTAAGGAATCACTATCAGTTTTAGCTAAAGAAGACAAGTAAATTCTTGATGTAACATTATTCTCTTATTAAACACATTTCATAAAGTGCATCTACACAATGAGAAAACTGGGGCAAAAGTAGGACACGTTTAATAGGACCAATTTTCCTCAGCAACATTATAAATGCTGATTGGTACTGTTCTGATATTCTTGATTTTTGCTTAATTTTTTTTTTGGGTATGGCTGAATGAACGGCAAATTGAAAAGCTAAGTCCCAGCAAGATGGTGCAGCTACATTCACAGCTAGAACATCGATGCCTAATGTGGAAGAAACTGTCGCAAATCAATTATTTTTAGGTGGAATTTGGCTTGCTTGTTCTCCAGATCCCTCTCAATTGGACTGTTACCTATGGGGTTTCTTGAAAGGAAATGGTTTAAAAAATAATGTTCACAAAACTGAGGACCAGAAAGAAGCAATGAGAATTACCATTCAAGAAATAATAACAGACACGTTACAGAAGGTATTTGACAATATGAAGAGAAATGTACAGTTACGCCTTGAAGCCCACTGGAGGACATTTCCAAAAACTTTAAAAAAAAAAAAAAATGAAAGTGTCACCGGTTCATTCCAGTTTCTCCAAACCAATATAAGACCTCAGTAGTAACTGATGCACACAATTTGTTTTTCTTTCTTCAGGTTTGTTCTGCATACAAAGTGTAGTGAGACTTTGCAATCACCCTATCTATATATAAAAAAGTCAATGTTTGTGTGTTTGTTTGTGAGCTATAGACTCGGAAACTACTGAACCAATTTAGTTGAAATTTTTAGGATGTGTTTGTTTTGATACCGAATGTTTACCCATCATGGTTTGAAATTATACCTGTCATTGTTAGAAATAGGTGACCACATTTTTTGCAAAAATCGTCGAAACTAATATTTCCATTTTTAGTGGCATTTAATTATAGCCACGTTAGTAAATGCGCATGCGCGATCGTCTGCGGTTTTGAGTTGTGTTAGAATCGGGACACACATGTTGAGTAATTCTGTTATCTTTTCTTTGTTCAGAAGTAGTGGTTGGCTGGTCGAATGGTTACCACACTGGGTTCCCGTGGGGGAGACTAGGGCTCGAATCCCCAGTACGGCAGTTTCCTTTTTTTTTTTTTTGCCCATTAAAAAATAAAACTCAGACCTGCTCTGTCGTGGCGACAGCACTAGCCATGTGACCATAAAAACTGAAAAAAAAATAAAAAAATTCAGGTATGTGGGTAAACCAGTTGATAATTAAATTTGACCATTTCTCATACTTATGATTTCTTTTCAAACTTTCTGATTGCATGGTAACGCTGAATTTTCGTAGATTTCCATTTATTTTCATTTCGATTTAATTATTTCTTCTGACATTGCTTTGGAATTAGGCTGTGTTGTTTCTCATAGCGTTTATTTCGTAATTATTGGTACCCGTATGGGTTCAGGGGCCCTATTATAGGGAAAACAAGAATAGACCCACTGCCTACCCAAAAGCATGTCGTAAGAGTCGACTAATTGGGAACTTCCTTTGAAGTTGGAGTGCATCTGCCTGAGAGGCAAGGAACCAGCAGTCTGCATACAAATAAGTCAGATCTGCAAAACGGATGCACACGCAACACTCAGATTCTGGAACAGGACTGCAGTCCAGAAGTGGACGAGCAACCAAAACTTTCCGCCGAAGTTTACAGCTGGTGAATGCGAAAAAGAACGAAGAAGACGAAGTAATTATTGTGTATTTTTTCTGTTTTTGTTGCATTTCACTTTTTTTTTTCTTTCTCCAAACTACTTCGATAAAGGCAAAAGTAGTCTGTGAATTAGGAGGGGGTGGTGGGGTGGGGGTAGCATAAACTGGTAGCTAAAAGAGCTTCAAGTCAAAGTAACTGCCTTACCCACTCAAAGTAGCAGTAGTAGTAGTTGTGATTGAGCGGTTACACCGTAGTGCTGTCATGCCGGAGACCGCCGGTAAGGTGATGACATTTTTCTGTCGGGGAGCGAAATTACACAACCTAACCTGACCAGTCCGTGCCGACAGCATTAGCCTTGCGACGCCAAATCCTCCCTGTCTACTACTACGGTAAAAAAGATAGAAGTGACATTATTTTATTTATTGTGGTAGCGGTGGTGGTAGTAGTTGTACTGGTACTTTAAGGATAGTGTGGTAAATATTACACTAGCCGCATTTACTACTCATTACAATTCCTGCTCCCTATTTTAGCCCGGATATCAACGTCAGTCACAAAAAATATCCTCGGTTGATGACTTTCAAATCTATCGATAAGAGAGAGAGAGAGAGAGAGAGAGAGAGAGAGAGAGAGAGAAAGAGAGAGAGAGAGAGAGAGAGAGCAGATGGGGAGGAGAGGGGTGATGACAGAAACTGTTAACTTGAAGAGCTTAACGCATAATTTTAAAGTTTTCATTTCTTAATTTGTTTATATTTTACTAACGCTACCTCCGCTATTCTCATTTTTTTAACGACTTACTTGGTTATGTACAAGTACAGTAGTAAGCTTTACTTCCGTCTCTTAAAAAAAAAATACAAACAGCTTTAGCATGTGATAACCAAATAACAATTTTTTTTACTGTGCTAATAATACCATTTAAATGACCACTAATATAAAGACGCAATTATATGTTGCATGTTCTAAAGTGGCAAACCAGACTATATCTATATCTGTGCAGAGAATTATTGCGACATTAACTATATTAGACACGTGCGATTTCTATTGTCTTTTTTCCCCAAAAGCCTTTGATGAGGGAGCGAGAAGTAGGTGGATTTGGGAAGGGGGCAGGGAGCGGGGGGGGGGGGGGGACGAAGACTATGTCTGTATGTGCGCAGACAATGATTGCCACAGTAACCATATTAGTCACGTGCGATTTCTCTTTTCTTTCTTTTCCATTTAGCCAAACTATGCCACAGCAACGCGTGGCCGGGTACAGCTAGTACAATAATAAGTTTTAGGTGACAAATGCTTATGTTTATGTTTATTCAACGGATCAACATCATGGCACATGTAACCCATAAGTACTCCTTTCTTTTTCTGACTCAAGCCTGAGTCTGATGAATCGCAGCGCAGTGCACGAACTCTGTAGCACTGACGAGGATTCTGAAATACTTTAGGTATATATTTAACTCCAGCGCCGCTAGGCTGCTTTTTTCGATTTCCAACTGCCAAGGTTTTTTTTTAAACGTGCGCAACAGTACACACGGGCGTCCGGTCTTACTACGCAGGAGAGACCAGGGGAAATTACTAGAAATCCACATAACAAATTCCCAGGGCTTGAAGCCGGAACCTCTATAACTCGAGGCGGACATAATGCCTCGAGACCACGTAGCTCCCCCTCAAGTGACAAATGGGACTGTCAAATGACTTCGAAGGCAATGGCAGGGTCACGTTCTTTGACGAGTCGAGATTCCTGATTCAAAGGCATGATGGCACAGAGTTCACCAAAGTCCACATGAACGATATGATTATATTTGCTTCCGCATGGCTTTGAACTTTTGTGGAATCACAATTAGTTTATAGGAAGTAATAACATAATTTTAAAATTCAGTTTGTAACAAGTCGTGAGAGCATCACTGCACAGTGATACATACGCGATATCTGACATCAAATTCTGTGCAGTTTTCTTTTCACACTCGTGCACAAGATTTAAACTATATACACACAAATGCAGCCCCTTACCGAGAAAAAGTAACCACTGAGTTTATCTTAAAGAATAACATAAATATTTTTCGCCCATGGTTAGCAGTTCCTCCTGACCCTTTTCCTGTATAGCATGTAATGGACATGCGTGGATATTTATCATGGTATGGGCCGTCGCAGGTCGACACAGCATAAAATGGGTAGCAGGATGGGCTATCCTGGGAAAATGAAGACGGCCGGCGCAATGCTGACGACATTACCTACAGAGTGCTGATGGTCAGTAAAAACATGGGCGCTCTTCCTATATACCCGATACGCCTAAGGGCGTGAAAAGGGATCTTTACTTCGGAAGGTCGTGGGTTCGCTCCCTGGTGATGCCGGACTTTTTTCAAAAATGTGGGTATCGGGTGCAGTCCCGGGAAGTAAAGGCGGCCGTCGGGGTGCTGACCAATCTTGTGCCGATTGGTCTATAAAGTGTAGTTCTAGCCCTATATGCCCTATACGCCTAATGGAAAAGGGTCCTTTACTTTCCTTTTTACTCATGTATTTTACATGGTGGACCACGTTTTCGAAACCTGTCAAATCCACCTCGGAATCCTTTATAGCTTGAACAGGAACTTAATCACATGTGTCTGGAACGATCAGAAGATCCATGGATCAGTTCAGTGCTCTTGTCTCGCCGCCTCATCTACATGGCCAAGAAATCCAAGTATTTATCTATGTGCTCTCCTTTTGCTCTTTTCCCATCAATCTTCCCAATCGAAGCCAAGATGGCGAGACAGTTATTTCTTATAGCATGTCCTAAATATATATTTACTGTCTACATTTAATTTCTCTAATCAATTTACAGTTTTAATCTATCTCTAGAAGAATTACTTCTATATAGAACAATATAACACTGCTGCCTGGAAAGATTGACAGGTGCCAAGGACATTACATTTCATTCAGCTCGGTTATTTTTCCCCGCGTACGGTTGTGGACGCTCCAAATCGAAGAATAAACATTAGACCTACTACCCTCCTCCGCTCCCTCTCCAACCAAAACAGACGTGTCGTAGGAGGCGACTAATTAGATTGTTTACTTCAAAGACGAAATCATCATCATCACCATGTGCCCTGCTAACCGGCGTAGGCAATCATGGGTCTCCACAGATCACGATCCCTGGTTGCCTGGAACAGATCTCTTGATGATATCCCTCCATATCATCGTTTCAGCCCATCCAGCATTATCCCTTTTGGTCTACCTTAACCCCTTTCCACTGATCTTTCCGGTTGTCACGATGTTCTCCGATGTCTCTCTTTTTAATATAAAAAATGAAAAACATTTAAAAAAAAAAAAAAAAAAAAAAAAAAAAAAAAACTCCCAACAGACTGCATGCAAATAATCCAGATCTGTCAAAATTCGAGTTCTGGATCAAGACCAAAGTCCAGAAGTGGATGAACAACCAGAACTTTACGCAAGAGTGTACAGCGAAAAAACGCTAAGGAAAAGAAGCTCTGTTATTTGTACGTTGTGCCTATCTCTATTTCTCTCCGTCCATTCCTTGCACATTTTAATCTTTCTGTCTGTAAATTTCACTAGAAAATTATATACTCACATTTTTGATTTTTTGGGTGGGTAGAAACAAAACTGCGATGTTGCTCTCTGATATATTTTATGGGTTTTTCTATGGATAACGATGTTGGCCCTTGCAGGTGGGGATAACACACAAATGCTGAACCGAAAACAACCTTGTAGTTCCCACCGTTATTGTGGTTTCACACATAAGATTAATATCCGCCTCCTCTCTCTACGTGTCGTACTAAGAGCAAAAGGCACATGTACAGGGCACACACACGATGTTCATCTACTGTCGTTACGTTGCACTCGGGGTGTTTTCTTAATGCGACGAACATACGCCGAACATGATTCTTCAATTCAGACCATACATCTTCACGATCATTCAGGGTAGAAATCAGATTCGCTCTTTTCATTCATCCTCATGAATTAGGAACCTCTTCATACGGTTGTCAATTATTCTTCAGAACAGTCACTCATCTTACAGAACTGGACCATTCACGCTGGCTGACCATCACCAACTGATTCAATCTTTGGTTTGCCTTTCAAACATCTCTTTAGTTTTCCTGTGGTGTCACCCTTCCACTATTCACATAAACCCGTGATTTCGTGAGCCTTGCCTTTCTTGCCTGTTACTCCCTTGACTTCCTTTTGACCCTATGCTGTCATAAGGAAACCCCTTGGGAAATCCCATGATTACAAAAACACGGATAACAAACCTAAACAAAACTAAACAGTGAGATACCACGCATATTTGTTAGATTTATTGCGTTATATATATATATATATATATATATATATATATATATATATATATATATATATATATATATATATATATATATATATATATAAAATGGTTATTTCCCCCCCTGTCACCCTATCTACAGGCTCTGCGTTTTCGTAGGCAATTCCCTGGAAAGTCCAACAGCATAGGGTATTAGGGTGTGAATGAACATCGACTAACACTTACCCTAACCTCTCACCCCACCATAATATTAGACTTTCTTAGTAATTCCCTACGAAATATCCGAGCTCTCTTAATGGGAGTAGAAGGGACAGGAAAAGGGGGGGGGGGCGTGATAAAAGAAAAGAGCATATTAAATATAGAAATATGTAATTTACTAACGTAAAACTCATCATTGTCATTATCTTTTACTGAGTGATGGGAATTGGGAGTGGTGACCGGGACACGCTGGTTATTGTCTATACGTGTGAATGTGCAATGTCTTTCATGTCACTTGCACACGTTCTACTTGTGTATCCGGTTTCTCTTGTATGAGCTTTTCTTAGAAACATCCCTGTTCTGGTAAATGATATAGAGAAACAAGTTTTTTTTGCAGAAAACTGTATAAAGTATTAAATTACTTGGCGCCGCTGTGATGCAGCGGTTAGTCGCTCGGAAGGTCGGGGGTTTGGGTCCTGATGGAGCCGGACTTTTTGTCTTCAGAAAATGACATTGGCTAACAGGTCGACCTAGCCTTAAATTGGTACTGAGTAAAGTACTGTGAAGTAAAGGCGGCCGGTGTGCGGCTGACTACATCACACATCAAGAGCCTATTTGTCTATTCAATTTATGTCTAGCCCTATATACCCACTACGCATAAAGGCTTGGAAAAAGAGATTCCTTTTATTACTACCACTTCCTTATCGAATCTTAAATGTTGGTACTACCCGTGGGCTATAAAAGGTAATATTTTGATATACCCGTTTTACAGTCACTTGTTAAATCTAGTATAATAAATATGGATTACATTACAAGTGCATAACAAACATGTTCGGTAAAAAACAACACTGTAATGCACTTTCCATGTTTATTAGCACTTAATTATATACATGGAATTTACACATGACTTCCTGGAGACCTACATCAACTTGCAACTTGTTCAACTGTTGATTGCTACTGAGGAATAGTTTTTAGTTTGCTAACTAAGTGAATAGATTACTGCTTTTTTTTTAAACTGTCATTTGCTATTGCCGAGACAGAGTGGTTTTAAATTTTGTATTATAGGCATAGTAAATAAACGTATTAATTGAAGCGTTAAAAATTTCAAAATTCATACGGAAATAATTAAAGCAGAGGTATAAATTATTATACCTTTGTCTAAGACTGAATTCAACTTCAATGAGACTGACTATGCTCGTTACCACCTTCGGTGTGTTACACATTATATAAACTAAAGAAATAAAAGTTACCTGTTTAACCACACGAATGTCTTTCCCAGATAATTTGTCAGAGGTATCATTAGAGGAATCAGTTTTTCCTTTAGCATTGGAGACTTCTCTGTCACATACAGAAATTTGTGAAGCTTTCCTGAATCTGAAAGCCGTGCGGAGACTGTTGACCATAATTACAATACAGATGAGAACGATAAATCCGTCACAACGGGCAACAAGGTCTGTATTAAAGTCCATACGACATTTTTGACAGAATCTCTGTACGGTGATAGCCAAAGCATTGGTCTAGATGTGTTAGTCTTTGGGTCGAGTCTAGGGACCATTCCCATATTGGCGAGAAGCGGGGTGTAGATAGCTACTGCAAAAACAGCAAAACCTGTCATGATAACTACCGTTCTTTTGACAGTAAAAGAATGTTTAAAGTGAAGCGGTTTGGCCACACACATACAACGCGCAACTGCTAAAAAAGTTGTAGTTAACGTATTGGTTACATTAATCAGTATCAGTACATGGCCAAATAATATGTACACTCCGTAAGGTTCAATAGGAAAGTGTTTGAAATAATCCTTCTCAATTAAACTAAAGGCTAATGCGATTGTGAAACAACATGTACTAATAAGATAAGTCAAGTCAAATACAGACAAAGCAAGGAATGATACTGTAACACTGTCCTTGAGTCCCATTGCGAAGAATGTTTTGATGTTGACAGCATTTGATATTATCCCGAAGAATGCAAAGATAGTAAAACCAGCACAGATAAATATTAACACAGTGTTATATTGGCTTTCGTTCACGATTCCCGGCAGGGAGATATCGTTATTTGTGACATTTTTCATGATAAACATGAGAATATTGTAGATATATTTTTCTTCAGTAACTTTTGTAGCTTTGTATCTGGGAGTGTGCTTTTTAGGGTCTAGCGTGTTTTTGTTCTCGATAAGTTGTATATTTAAATAGATCACTATTGAAGCAGGAGGCTATAGAAATATGATGCTGTCTGTAAACAAAAAACTTTTAACTTATGTTTTTTATCGCATTAGGATAAGTTGAGAAAAAAAAAAAAAAAACCACACAAAAAACAAACACATCTATAACTATTTTTAATACCTGTAGCTGATGTTTAAAATAGGAAATAACCACTGGGTGAAATCACGAATGCATAACCCATCAAGAAAATACATACATAGATGGAGTGACAACATGTAAGAAAGGAAGATTTCTTTAAGGTCCTCAGACCAAATGTTAAATATTAGAGAACACATAACACAATAATTAGGATTCAATAAAAAACTTAGATCGCACATTCCACGTTGCTAATACCCAAGAGAGTTGAAGACTAGATTTTTATATTATGAAAGGAAATGTAAACACTCTTGGATTTGCTGTGTCATTGAATTTACTTTGGTCAAAACGAAGAACAATTATTATTGGGAATTAAATTTGTTTTCTGTTTTATTATTTTCTTGACGCTGAACGATCCGGAGTACTCCAAAACTCTAACGAACTTCAACTTTGGTTAACTCATTTGTGTACATCGAGTAGGAACTATTTAAATACTTTTTACACTGCCCTTTGAGCACTATGTGAAATGTATAACGATTTAAATTTCATTTTATTTTTCATATATTGTCTAAAACCACGAGTAAGTGGCCAGTTTAAAATATCGGAACTAAACTCAATCGCGGTTTTTTGCCACCAAACAGAATACTGATTTCTTTTTTTTTTTTTAGCTAACTACTAATAATTCGAGTGCAATGCTTATTATCTATCAGTGCAGCTTGACAAAAATTGTTAGTACTATCTTTACACACTGGATAAAACCTTGTCAAAAATAAAGAAACACAAATGATTACGTATTATCAAAATATCTGATTGTAGTAATGTAAATGCACTTCTGTAATCGTGCTCTATTTTGTACTGCATGTACCAACAGTGTACAATTGGTCTACAATTATACTGCCATTTTCAAATTGTTTAAAAAAAAAAAAAAAAACACACACACACACACAAACGAGAACGAACACCAAATTCTTGAGCAGGAGTGTAACAAGCTATTAGATGCAGCCTAAAGAATTAAAACCGCTGCCATCGATGGAATAACAACTGGATCGATAAAGGCTTGTGGAGAAATTGGAGTCACCTGGTTACTCCATATCTTGACGAAAGCTTGGAAAAAAAGAACTTTACCAAATGATTAGGAGAGAACAATCATTGTGTCAGTATGGAAGAAAACAAGAAATAAGCGAGACTATAAAACCCATAGGGAGTCCCTGTGGCGTTGGCAGCTAGACGCCCAACTGCGAATCGGAAAGTCGTGGGTTCGCGTCCTGAAGGAGCCCAAATTTTTTTTAGAAATTACTTTGACTCCCAGGTCGACCCAGCATTGAGTGGGTAGGTGCAGTCCTGGGAAGTAAAGGCGGCTGGCATGATGCTGACCACATCACCTACCAAGTGCCGATTGGTCAATAAAAATATAGGTCTAGCCCTATATTCCTAATAGGCCCAAAGGCGTGGAGAAGCGACTTTTTTTTTAACTTCATAACATCTTTAGAGGTACCTCTCTTCTAACTCATGCTAGTAAAAATTTGCCACGGTTCCGGAAAAACGTGGAATCAAATCAGAGTCCAAAAAAGGCTGGATTCAGAAAATTAAGAAGATGTACTGATACAACATTTTTCCTAAGAAAAACCATCGAAAAGACAATAGAACACAGACACCAAATTAATGTTGCATTTATTGACCAAGAGAAAGCTTTTGATAGAGTAAACAGAGGAAATCCTGGACAAATTATGGAATAAAATAAACATTGTTAAACTGCACAAAAGACACCTAAAGAGACAGTAAAAGTGCAGTCAGAATAAGTGTGGGCCTTTCATACTGGTTTTCAGTAACATCAGGATTGAAACAAAGATGTGTTTTATCACTTTTGCTTTTTAAAAATCATATTTATTGACAGTAACAGCAATATCACAAAACGGAAACAAACATGGAAATGTTAATGAATCCTATTCCCTGACGACCAACCCTCATTCCATAATCAAGTTAATTATCTAGAGAACAACATAAACAACTACACGACAGCTGCCTCACACATAACGTGAAAATAAACATTGAAAATCAGAAGTCATGTGTATAGAAAGCGAACAGCGAACGATCAACTTAAAGATAACAGATCAAAGTTTAAAACAATGCGTACCATCTAAACGAGTCAACTGATAAGACTTGAAAACATACAGAATGAAGCTATGCGAGTAATTCTGGGATGTACAAGAGATACCCCGGCAGTATGCGATGAATACTTGAACTGCCTACTATTGAAGAGAGGCTTAAAGTTCTGTAAACAAAATCATATCTCAGAGAAGCCGCAGACAAAAAAGCACCCCTTGCATGGAGCTCTAGGTAGAGCTAAGAGCTCTAGACTGAAAAAAAAAAGAAGGTCTTGGATAGCGCAAGTTAAAGACATAATTAGACATTTGTGCAGGCTTGCTAAATTTGACCGAGGAGAGGAGTGGGTCAAAGTGTCCAAGCAAGAATCCTATTTGTGTAGGGTTCTAATCACTTTAGGTTGTGAGTGCAGGGACTGGCCAATTGGTGTTGCGGAATCAGAAGTTCATCAAATGATTCATGACAATTACGACCAAGGCGATGTGATTATCTGTGTGTTGAGATGCAGACTAAGTGAAATGGGTACTGATAGCAAAAGAGGAGTTCAGCAAAGCCTGGCATATGATACCATAACGTCTAGTTTGAGAATGGCGGTGAAAGCAGTCTTTGCTGCGTTCCCCTGGCTTGAGAATCAGCTGTACACACATGTCGTAATTGTAGTTGACTTATGGATCGTGTTGAACGAACGAACAAACGAACTTTTTTTGAAAGGGTTAAGAATTCGGCACACAGGCCCGTCTTACATTCTGCCCTAGTCTCACGCCATGCATACATTATTCATGCACACATTGTTTTAGCAGATAATAATAATAATAATAGAATTAATAGCATATTGCTGCATCAATTAACCCAAAATAACGCTTTGATTTGCAGTTTAAAGTACATCATACAAATAATTGTAAGACACGTATCTGTTGTCGATGCCTGATTATTATACTAATTTATAATAACTATAGTAAAAAAAAAAAAAAAAAGTAAAGATAACTTTCCACGCCTTTAGGTGTATCGGGCATATGAGAAGAGCGACCATATTTTTACAGACCATCAGCACTCGGTGGGTAATGCAGCATTACGCCGGCTGTCTTTACATTCCCAGGACAGCCCATCCTGGCACCCATTTTAGGCTGGGTCGACCTACGACGCCCCGTAAATACAAACCCACGCAGCCAACAGTGGGTTTCGATCGCGGTAAGCTGAATTACGAGTCGGACTCGCAACGCCTAAGCCACGGACGCCGCTTTAATAACTATAAAAATAAAAAATAAAAATAACAAATACAGTTGTTTCATTTCCTGTACATAGTGGAATGTAATAGTAGTAACAATTTGATATCATTTGTAATGATTATGAAACAAACAGAAATGTAATGTGGTGCCATTAGTATGTGAGGTAATGATATCATTATTTCAAAGTTACATATCAGTTTTGATAGAATTACACTTAAATTAAAACATAAATATGACCGCCAAAATATTTTGAAATAAAAAAAAAAATAAAAAAAACATTAGGCTGCTTAAAAAAATATCATGATATACATTTTTTTTGGTAATTTTAAAAAAAAAAAGACCCCAATTGAGAGAAAAAAAAAAAAAAAATAGTAATGAAATCGCGTTGTCACTGTATCAATTACCCACCTCTTAAAGAAACAAGTAATGATAGTTTAACATTCGATACTGCTCTTGTCTTTGTAATTCCTTGTCGAACATAACCTTGTCTAGGATATAGTCACCTTCACTTGTCACTACAGCCACTGTCGTAGGATTGTGTCTGGATACCAGTCGCTCCACCTTGGTGATTAGTAGTTTAAGGTTTTCTTCTTAATTTGGTCGTGTATTTCCTTGTCGGTTACTTGTAATTGAAATCGCGTGACAACCCACCTCGTACAGTGTGGCACAAGATGACCAACACCACCATCTCTTTTGGTAGGATCTGAAAGTACACGAGTGATTCTTTCAGCCAGATCGTAATTAGAGCTACGTTCTGCAAAGGATCTGCTACATGATGATAAAGGTGATGATGTTAGACGTTCTGTACTCGCTATTCACTAGCTAATTTCTTGTGTATCATGGTATCATTAACACTTGAAATAGCAGTAATAAGTGTTCTTATTCTGTTCTTTATTCCCCCAATGAAGCACATACTCTCAACCAACTTATGCGAAATCGGAATATTATTTGCTATTATTACCTGCAGATCACCCACATTCTGCCTATCGTTTAAACTTCACTCTCCAACTCCCTTCTTTATATGTTTTTCAATGTGCCTTTGCGTCTGTGCCCCTATTATGTCCATGCCTCTGTAGGCTCTAGTATAACGACATTCTAGTTATATTATTGTCAACGTGTATCCTATCCCTAGCAAACATCTTTTCTTCATCTCTTGATTCACTGGCATTTGTTCAGTTTTTCTCCGAACGATCAATATTAGTGATTCAGTTATGCCATTTATTCTCTCCATCGCACCAATTGTTGGGAAATGAACAGGCGGACAGATTGGCTGGGCTTTGTACAACTGGGTGAATACTTATGCATGATAAAGACAGACTCTGGTATGCTTGTGGAGACCCCGCGGTACCGTTCGGAGGAGCAGTGGACCACCAG